TGAAGCCGCCATTATGGCTCCACATATACACGGCTTGCCGCTTATTAAATCCACATTCAGAGCTTCAATGTCGGCTTGTCGCCTGTTGGTGAAATGGAATAAACCATCCTATAAAACGGGGACAAAAATAAATTCAGATGCCCCCGAACTCTTTGTCACGTGTAGTAGATATTAATTTAAATTATTGATACTATATTTTTAAATTAAATAAACACATTCTTGTAATATTACTTGTAATACGATTATTTTACAAGGTTAGTAAATTTGACAGTGTTCTGTCTCCCCTCCTCGACCGTGGATGATGAAAGTCTGAATGAACACTAGAGGTACATAAATTCTGCCTAATAATTCGTCTTTTTCACAGTTTGTACTTCGTGTCACTGTAGCTATACGCGAATAAAATATTCGCTTCTATCACACATTATCACAGACAGGTTCTGTTAATGGCTACCGTAGATAGTCTGTCATGCACCGTGTCTTGCTAGGGTAAACAAGAACACTCTTACGGAAGAAGACACTAAACATACACTTTCAACTAAAATGGCCCATTCGCTTAATTTATTCGCTGTTCATGTACTGTCTTATGATCGTGACTCAACAACAGTCTTATCAGCATGTGACCGTTTTAGGGTGTAACGTTGCTTAAAGTACCTTCACACCCACTGTCCTCAGTGTTTTTGTAGCTTTAAGCCTCTGACTTTGACATTATTGCAGACCTTAGTAAACCTATTTTACCTTAGTTTGTTCGGAATTAACCATCTTTGTTATTTTAATAATCCAGTGTTTCAAGATGCGTGTATTGCTGCTTAAAGAACCAAAAAATGGAGAGTCTGGACCTGATCCCTATATTAAGGTACACGCCCTTTACAGTTAAATCAACTAGCTTTTAACCAGTTTCTTAAAATTTGTCAGTTGAACAATTATTATTTTCACTCCGAAGGAGCTGGAATCACGAGGACATAAAGGAACCCTACTTCCGGTGCTGTCTTTTAAGTTTGTGTCATTAAACACTTTGACAGATAAGGTAAATTGTTGTTCCATTGTCCTTTCATTAATTCGTTCATTTTAACAGTTTGCATATTCAATGGATTTATGTATTTGTTGCTTATTCCAGCTTTTCCAACCAGAGAAATACGGTGGGCTCATATTTACCAGTCCAAGAGCAGTGGAGGCTGTAAGGATGTGTTTGGAAGCGGATGAAAGAAGGGAAGGTGATAAACATTACTTTTCTCCTAGCTTCTGTATATCATTGATATAAATGACTTTTTTTGGTTAAGATCTTAAAAATACAAGTTAAGTTTGTGTAGTACATTTCTGTAATGCCCAGTGTATGTTGTGCTTTTGAGAATGGGACAAAGCACTGAAAAACAAATGGAACACCAAGTCCATCTATGTGGTTGGGAAGGCCACCGCTTCATTAGGTGAGTCACATCTATGGACAAAGGTAATTTCTCCCAGAATCCTCCTTTGTGTCTTGAGCTCCTTGTAAACTCGTGCTAATTGCACCAGAGTGTGTCGGGCACCTGGTGCTCATAGTGATGTGTGAAACGCTTTGTCTACCTTCAGCCATTTGTTATACACAAGTGACAGTTTGCCGTTAATGATTGTTCTGTGTCTTTACAAAACAAGCAGGTGCAACACTTTCTACATGTGTGCTTTAGCTTCTTTTTTTCAGTAACATTTGACAGTGGGTTTTTATTCTGAGTCTCTCAGTGAGTTTCTAATTTAGTTATTGAATTAGTTGAAACGATTGAATGTGTTTTCTCTGCCACACTCTTATGTCAGTATTTAGCAGACTGTGCAAAAGTATTGAGCCACCCTCATTTCTTTGTATTTTACTTCCAAGGACCCAGATGTCCTTGTAATTTTTCAAAGTGCTCTTGAGTTACTCATCCAGGCTTTCAGAAGGTCTTTCAAATTTGTCTTTTGACATTTGCTGGTTTTTCCACTTACTTTCAATCCAGGCTTTGTACTGTGCCATTTTCAGAGGAATGTGGTTTGGTTGTTAAGCCACTTACCACTGGCCTATGAATGCATCAAGTATAAAAAAAATGCACCCAAGTCAAGGAATGAACAATTGTTGTGTCTACACATAGCAGATAACTTAGAAAAGACTAGACTGTAATGTCTTTTTAGTGTTTTCCGCTTTTAAAAACATCGCTGCGCCTATTTCTCATTTTCTAGCAAAATATAAAGAAACGTGGGGTGGTTCAAGAATTTACCACATTACTGTAAAGCTTATCAATTTTTTTCCTTTTCATGATTTTTATCCCATACAGTACAGAATCTAGGTCTGAACCCTTTGGGAGAGGACACAGGGACAGCAGAGGTGCTATCACGACTTATTATTGAACGTACGGCGTAACTTTGGAGTCTCACATTCCTCACAGTTTAATTTTAATAGTAATTTTATGATTGCTCTTATTACTCATATGATCTCACGTATAATTCCCGTCATAGGAGAGGCCACCAATATCCCACCGCTTTTTTTCCCCTGTGGCTCAATCAAAAGGGAAGTCTTGCCCACGGCTTTAAGGGAAAATGGTAAGCATTCCCCCTGTTGTGCCTGACAATTAAAAGTCAAGGTGATAAAATTCCCATTGGGATTATTCTAATTATAAAATAATAATTGCACTATCTTTATCACTGTTGGGATCTGTTTCTTTGTTTCCAGGAGTGCCCCTGGAGACATTAACTGTCTATCAAACAGCAGAGCATCCCAATCTGGAGAAAAATCTAAAGAACTATTTCACAGAGCAGGTAAAGTGTCATTCTTATTGCTTGTATTTATTTATTTGTTTCAATATAGCAGCTGTTCATTTGTTTGTGTACTTATAGGGCATTCCAGCAAGCATAGCTTTCTTCAGTCCATCAGGAGTGAAGTTTTGCCTTGAAGTGGTGCGGAGGCTCTCGGCTGAACAGCTGACTCAAATAAAGGTACATCTTCCTCACAGTCATACACAGATAGATTTAAATAATGCATGAATCTGAAGTGCTTAACAGAGCTTTACTCACATAAATGTCTTTGTTTCCAGTTTGCAGCCATAGGGCCTACTACACAAGATGCAATAGCAGCAGAAGGCCTTTGTGTCAGCTGCACTGCAGAAAAGCCAACAGCTGAACACCTGGCGATAGCGATAGCTAAAACTCTGCAGTGACCAGCTTTTAAAATCCACCTGCCTCATCTTTGGTGTTTGTTGTTATTATATATGTAAATATGTACCGTTATTTGTGTGTTTTACTGCTTTACTGCTCATCATTATTGTTGTTGGACAAATGATTCTGCTATTTTTGCACTGAAAGAAGTTATTTTTTGCAGCACCAGAGCCAGGAAAGTCTAAGATAAAATTATAATTTGCTTTATATGATGTAAGAAAATGACTGAGAAAATAAAAGCCAATCATTGTGATGATATTGAAGGTTTTGTCTGTGGTAATTGCTTGTGTATGTTTGTGTGTTTATTTCCTGTTCAACACAGTGCTTGCAGGGGTCATCCCTGTCTTTTACGGTCCACATGAAAGTGAAGGTTTTAACATCTTTCCACGGATCAGCTGCGGTCCATTTAAAACCACTGAAGCTTGTATAACATAACCACAGAGAAAGAGTCAAATTGAGCAGTTGTAGATTGTAAAAGTTTACTTTTCACGCAGAGGTGAAGAAAGCAGGTTACATCTGTAGAGTCACACCTCTGGAGGGGTGTGGAGAAGCAAAGGATTTGCTTATAAAGCAGCGTTGCTCCTCACTTGTCATCATCTCATCTTGAATATAGACCCAGGAGTGCACCGCTAAAGGCCACGATGCTGAATTTAATCCAGCTGATATTTATGTTCTTTTTGACCAACATTAGCACAACTGATGCAGAGAAACTTTTCCATAATCGGGATCACTCTGATACGCAGACACTTAATTCTCACAAAGCTCAGGCTATAACAGACAAGTACACAGCTGAGGTATATTGTTTTTTTCTTCTTTTTTGACTTCCTGTGTTTCTCAAACGTCAGCATCCATTTAACCAGACACAGGATTCGTCTAATGTAACCCGTGTCTTGTTTTAGTTATTTCTCTCTAGATATGGATTCATCAAGCCAGTTAACTGGGAGGAGGTTCGGTTTGAGGATTCAGACACTTCTTTCAGTGGTGACTTCCTTGACGATCTTCAAGCCACAATCCAGGAGGGAACCTCAGCGTCTTACTCGAGGGCTGCTCATAGAGCTGCTGATCAGCAGGGCTATAACCGTCAAAATGAGAACCAAGCCTTTATTTCAGCACTTAAAGAGTTTCAGAGGGTTTCAGGTCTGCCTGTTACAGGGGTGTTTGATGAGGCCACCAAGTTAGCAATGAACAAACCAAGGTGTGGAGTCCCTGATAAAGAGACTGGTCTGACCATCCCTGTCATCACTACAGCACCTCAGAGCAGTGGTGACTTTGATTTTGAAAACAGTACCACTGACAGTTTTACTGAGACCAACAGGAACAACACAGCAAGTAACATAATCAGTGGCACTTCTTTAGGTACTGCAAATTTCTCTGAAGACGACATATTAAATTTTAATGATACAGACGGTGTGTTCACAGCCATTTCCAATGACACCAGCGTGAATTATACAACGGAGCTTTTAAAGATCACTTCCCTAAACAGCTCGCACGACAGCAGACCGGGCAGCCAAACGGGGAATACCAGTGCGAACGCGCATCAGAGTGAAACGGTGAGACGCAAGAAGGAAAATCTCGCAAGTCTCATATCCAAAAGCAGGCGGAAGAGAGATTTGACTCCAACTGGCCACATGGCTTTTTCCAAGAAGGTGTTAAACTGGAGGCTGATAGGAGAAGGCTACAGCAGCCAGCTGACTATTGACGACCAGAGATACATCTTCAGACTGGCTTTCAGGATGTGGAGTGAGGTGTCGCCACTGGAATTTGTGGAGGATACACATGCCCCATTGGAGGATGTTGACATCAGGCTGGGATTTGGTACAGGTGGGTTTTAGTCAATGTTTATGAGCTTCATTGCAGCATGAAAGCTACTTTTGGCTGCTCCTTTATTCACAGGGGCCGCAGCAGGTAGCTCCGCATGTCTGGTTTGGCAGAGATTTATGCCAGATGCCCTTCCTGACACAACCCCAAAAGGATTTGTGTCTTCTCCACTCCACACAAGTGACACTGGGGATTTTTCACTTGTTAGGTGGATATGTAAATCACTATTTTTATGAATAAAATGTGGAATGTTTAGATTTGATCTTTCACACCACTAGTCTGTGAAGGTTAATTTCTCATTTCAGGATAAAAAAGTTAAAGGATGTTATCTCCTTGGCCACATATATGTTTAAGACTAATAAAGCATCTGTTAATGAGGCTTATTAAACACAAAAACTCCCAGCAATGTTAAAGGTAAAAGCAAACCACCACCAGTCTTCTTAGACTGGCCCTTCTTAGGGTCGTGTGTATGTATGTCTGAAGAGGATCATTAATGTTTCCACTGTACCTCCTTTTTGTGCCAAATAACATACTGCATCGTTGTGAAATTCTTTCATAGGAAGGCATCTGGGATGTAATCAGAAGTTCGATGGCACTGGTCAAGAATTTGCCCATGCTTGGTTCCTGGGTGACATACACTTTGATGATGATGAGCACTTCACAACTCCCAATGTTGGCAGTGGAATCAGCCTTCTCAAAGTAATTATATTACTGCACGATCAAAGGAACTGCCAGATTGAAATAATTCCAGTGATTAACAACGCATTGCTCTAACAACGCCTTAAAAATATTAAACCTGTTCAGGTAGCAGTTCATGAGATTGGCCATGTTTTGGGTCTACCTCACATATATAGACCCGGATCCATAATGCAGCCCAGCTATCTACCGCAGGAGTCCAGCTTTGAAATGGACTGGATGGACAGAAAAGCTATACAGCAACTCTATGGTACATGGTTACAGCACCATCTAGTGGTTACTTATACACTCTTAGAGAAATGCACTTTGCTGTATTTTAGCCCTAATTGACTGACGCAAACCCTTTTTTTGCTTGCATTTGACACCAGGAGGCTGTAAAGGTCGGTTCAACGCGGTGTTTGATTGGATCAGAAAGGAGAAGACACCCTATGGGGAGGTGGTGATCCGCTTTAACACCTATTTCATGAGAGATGGCTGGTACTGGCTGTATGAGAACAGAAATAATAGAACGCGTTATGGTGATCCAGTTCCGCTGCAAACTGGCTGGCATGGGATCCCAATGGATGGAGTAGATGCACATGTCCATGTCTGGTCCAGGAAAAGAGATGCTGTATATTTCTTCAGAGGTACACTAAGTGGAGAGTTATACTGTTTGAAAAGAGTTAGTGAACAAATGAATACTTGGTGAAAATGTAATTAACTTATTTATCTACAGGTGCTCAGTTCTGGAGGTATGATAGTGAGAACGACCAGGTGTTTGGACAAGACTCTGAAGGCCACCATTATCCGAGGTTAATCTCTGAAGGATTCCCAGGGGTGCCAAGTCCTATTGACACAGCCTTTTATGACAGGAGGGACTCCCACATCTACTTCTTTAAAAACAATCTTGTAAGTGCAATATTACCTGGCTGTCAGATATTATTACACTGATATAAGAGCAAAGACATGAGGTTCAGTAAGAAAGTAAATTAGGAAATATTCATGAAGTGCTTAAATGACAAGCTGGAACGATGTGGTTCGATATTAAAACACACAGACCATTATACATTATTTAAACTTAAACTGTGGCTTAGGCTTAATGGTCATTAATCAAACTGTTTCCATCTGTGGTTTGCAATCTAGCAATACCGATTAGTAGAACATGCAGATATAAAAAGCAGAGTCCTGGAGAAAACCCAAGCTAATTAATTGTTTCTTAGGATTATGAGGGAATGTCTTCAAGCAAACAAATGCACTAAAGTTCCTCTGTGAATTGTTTGCATTGTATAATTGAATTGATTTCTGCATAACAAAAAAAAGAGCAATTATCTCTTTGAACAGGTGTATGCATTCAGCGTGGAAGCCAACAACTTGGCAAGAGGCTCCCCAAAAAACATCAGAGATGTTTTCCCTCCTGTGGTGAACACAGACCATCCAGATGGCAACATTGACGCTGCCTACTTCTCCTACACTCACAATGCCATCTTTCTACTCAAGGGCATACGCTTCTGGCAAGTAGTGGGCAGTCGTGATCGCCGGCGACGGCCCTTTCTGCCACGAAATGGCCTGCTGCCACATAAGGAGGTGGATCAGCATTGGTTTGATATCTGCAATGTTCATCCCACTGCACTCAAACTAACCCGCTGAGAGTGTTGCAGCAGAGATGTGATAGAGCTTGCTAAAGTTTGCATATGTGATCTACTGATTTCGTTTTATGCACACATATTGTCAAGCTGCAATAACTGTCTAATTTCTAGAAGACAACAACAATTTTGAATTTTGTTGGCTAATTTTCACCAAGGTGTGTTATTTATATATGTAACAGCTGCTCTTTCATTCCTTTTCTCTTTTTCGGAGCAGTGCTGAATGCATTCTGCCACAAAAACAATCCTAAAGGACTTCCTATTATTAAGATATTCAGAGATTATATATATATATATATATGTATAATGCAAATAAAGTCAATAAATGTTTTGCTGAGCTGCTCAAAATGATATTTGATGTGTTTACTGTAAGTGCACTGTGTAGGAAAATGCTTTCAAATGGCAAATGTGCAAAATAACATTAAAACAGGCTTGTGCGTACTGTGAAGTGACTTCTTATGTCACATGTAATCTTAAGAAAACCTCTAAGAAGATTTGTGGTATTATGAGTGTATAAAAATAGAATTTTGCTCAAAGTGGAGGAGCTGGTTTCTGGGTAAAATCACAGATTGAAAGCATCTTTCTTTTGACGTAATAATATTGAAAAAAAAAAAAAGACATCAGATTTGTATCCTCGGATTGTTTCTTTTTGGTACAGTATGTGCCTGGAAGGGATACAACATTATTCTCTCAACTTAGATTGATGATCGAGGTGTAGATATACAGTACTAGTCCCTATTGGCACGACTGGATGATTTGATAATTCTATATTTGTACGAAACTCTCAATTCCTGTAAATTATACTTGTAGAAGACATCATCTGCCTGTAGGCATGAAAGAAAGAACGAAAGAAGTGACCTGGAAGCCATGAAACTTCGTCTTTATTAAAAACCCTTAAAAGTTAACTCTTCCACTACAATAGGGGCTGAGGGAATCAGATAACTCCTATCAATAACAACCTGGAGGTGGTGGAAAACAACTATCGAGACATCGTATTTTTGAATGCCCTCTCATTATGAAAGACTTACGCACTATCATTTAAAAGAGAGCCTTTTGAAATGCGCACTGAAGTAAAACGATTGAACAAGGTGCCACAATACTGTTATATTTTATAATAATGATTTGAGCATGATGCAAAGAAACAGGCATTGATTCTGTAATCAATATGTTACTTGAAGACGCTTATTAATTCAGCTCATCTTAAGAGATTAGGCTCCTGGTGGGCCCCAGATAACTAGCATTGTGCTGCAGGCGCTCTATAGGCTATATTAATAAATTAAAGTAGAAATCAATTACAAGCAAAGGAACAAAATGTTGCGGTAAGTGGAGCTACATAGAGGGTTATCATGGGATGATGAGTCTACTCGCACAGCTATAGAAGGAGCTTCTCTGTCTGCTCATACCTCTGCTTGTTTTTTGAGCTAATGTTTTGTTTTTTTCTTGTAAGATTAAAGAGATTTCTGTGATTCAACAGGATTAGGCAACATTTTAGTGATCATTATAAACACGAGCTTCATATTAAAAATGCAAAGTTAAAGAAAATTAGAAAATATTATTTATTGAAATACTATATTGTAATATTAACAATCAAGAGAAATCACTTACATATACCCAAGGTATTGTTGTTTGAATAAAATCAGCTTTTATTCTGCAAATCTCAGCATAAAATATTGACACAGGAATGTTGAATTCAGTACATAAGATGATGCAGTGCAGTGCAGCCATTTGATCTGTTTGTTTATCCCATTATGAGGCACCATACACCTCCTCCATCCTGGAATTTCACATGCAGCAAAATCCTAAATGCAAACTGTTATTCATGCATTCATGTGGTCCCCAGCAGCTCACTGATCTGTGCTTTTGCACTGATGGTACTGCCGTTGAAACTCCCTTCCCTACACCTCGGGCCTCTTTGAATGCGACTATGATAAATGAGATCAGTCATGCTGATGAAGCTGCTGCAGCCCCAGAGAAATACAAAAACCTGTGTCGTTGCAATTCACACGGGAGGCACTTTAGAAACTGGAGAATGGGATGAAACTCCCGCAGCACATCCATATACCGAAAATCCCCAAACTCTTCCAAGACATGAAAATAACTTTGAATACTGTTGCCTTATTTATTTGTCTCCAAGGGAGTTTTTTTTTCTTAAAACATGGAAATAAATGATTTCTGGTGTTATTTCAAATGAGGATCATACAATTATGTGTTTTTGCATTTGTCAAGGGATTAGTTCAACAAGCTGCTGCGTGTAGGTTATGTGTTGCATTTAAATGTAGAGATTTTTGTCTGTGAGTGTTATCCTTTTAATGATACCCTTGCTGTCCTGTGTCTGGGGCTGAATTAATAATGAGTGCAGGAATTTTATCACTGTTAGTGTGTTCATAGAAAGATAACAAATGTCACATCTTGTTGGAGGGAATGGAAAATAGTCTCTTTAAAAATGGGCTTTATATTAATTCACCCAAAAATCTTTCATGTCCAATTCACCACCTTCCCTTGTAGAACAAAAGGCTCACCAAGTGGTAGCCTGATTAGAAAAATTCATGATAAAGTATTGATTGTTGTCATGGACCTTTTGAGCTTTTGTATAGTATTTTCTTATGGGTTTTTTGTTTGTTTGTTTGTTTGTTTTCCATCGGGGGAAATGCTTTTGAAATGCAGTTTCATTTTACCTTTTGAGTTTCCCTGTTTTGTGTGTCTTACTTTCTGTTTTACATCCTGTATCATTATTTATGGATTTAGTTCACCTGCCTCTTGTTCCCCAGCTGTTTCCATTCTCCCTTATTACCCTTAAGTGTATTCATAGCCCTGCCCTTCCCTTCAATCCTTTGTCAGAGTGTCTGTTTACCTTCTGTTGTGTGTGCGCTTTGTGCCTTCTTTGGGATCTATGCCCTTTAGTCTTATCTGCTTAACCTTACAGTACCTTATACCCAGTGTTGGGGAGTAACACTGGGTATGTACTGCCGTTACGTATTTAAAATACAAAATATGAGTAACTGTATTCCGTTACAGTTACCGTTTAAAAATGTGGTATTTAGAATACAGTTACTTTGTTGAAATAAATGGATTACAC